GGAGGTGGTGACGGAACGGCGACTGGCTCACTCTGTTTGCCCTCATAACACGTCTTTGATTACCTGTGCTGTCCGCACACTAAGCACGTCTTTGATGGCCTCACTGTGTTCGCACACTAAGCACGTCTCTGATGGCCTCACTGTGTTCGCACACTAAGCACGTCTCTGATGGCCTCACTGTGTTCGCACACTAAGCACGTCTCTGATGGCCTGTGCTGTTCGCTCTCATAACACGTCTCTGATGGCCTGTGCTGTTCGCTCTCATAACACGTCTCTGATGGCACGTGCTGTTCGCACACATAGCACGTCTCTGATGGCCTCACTGTGTTCGCACACTTAGCACGTCTCTGATGGCCTCACTGTGTTCGCACACTTAGCACGTCTCTGATGGCCTGTGAGGCAAACGGGGCTGAACAGTTTGTTGTCTGAGCGACCAGGACGGACGTCTGGCCCTGAATGTCTGACCCTCTTCGTCCACTACCGTCACCCCGTGCGGGGTCAAGGTGAGCCGGGAAAGGTCAGAGAACTGTGTGCGTGGTCAGAACGTTTCTCGCCCGCCTCGTTCTCACCCCGTCCTTGACCCGAGTGTGTAGTAGAGCCCGCCCCCGCGCCTGTGTTCGTAGACGGGACGACCAGCTGTGTATGGGCGGGGGGCGCTGAGGTGTTGTACCCAGACAGCGGGTCCCTGAGGTCGCCCAGGTGTATGTTGGATCTGACGTCATCGTTGTTCCCGCCACCCAGACCCGGACCCCGGTCAGAGAAGTTGTTGTATCTCTGCCGCTCTGTGAGGAAGTGTTGGTGACCTTCGATCTTTGTGCCCAGGTATGTGTAGAGGGTCGACAGGTCGAGCATGACGATACAGCCGAAGACAAGGCTGAGGAACGCCACGCCTACAATCCCGATGCTTTTGGCGGAGGTTCGCGGGTCGTAGGCGCTCTCCAACCTGGCAGACAAAACACAATCATGTATCATGACGCGCTGGAATCACGTGCTCGCCAATTTTGGGGCACATGGAGTAGTCGTGTAATCCTAAAGCCTGTTTGTTTACCTTGCTTTGGGTGTAAAAAATGTACCTCTATCATGAGCAAAACTTGAGATATTTACGATTGAAGGAAGTGAGTGTCGCTTGGTGTCAGAAGTACAATTATCGAGAAAGTGGCCGCCAAAGTTTGGTGACTTCCAGAGCTGTAGTTTTTTTTCGAAAGCACAACATACTTTACATTTTTGGGGTACATTTGCACAATGTTTGCCAGTAAAATACATGCTGTAGTATATCTTCCAAAGCAATAGAAAAAATATATTTGAAAATTGTCAAACAGGCATAACACATTAAATGTTGACTTTTTTTCCATTTCATTAGTTTGACGAGCGTCTGATTTCACCACGGTGTCTCACACATACCAGCTAGCATAGTGTACATTTGATTTTTGTTTTAGTAGAGGTTTTACGGCGCTTGCAACTGCATAAGGTCATATGAGCACCAAGGGGTGGATGTCAACAGAGAAGTCCTTACAGGGAATCCGACTTACTCTGCTCACCTCTCTCGCTCCAACAGCACAAAGTCTGCTTCGACTATCAAGGCACCCCGGAAATAGCGGGTCACAAGAGAGTGACAAACATACAAAAGAAGTAAAGGAAAATGACGATAGTAAGGATTAGGAAAGAAAAAGCAGCAGTCCCCTGTTGTAGTTCGGGCACAGTTTTGAGCATGACATTGTTAGATCAGCCCATTTACAATTCTACTGTGCATTAGAACGAGAAATGTCCTCCCTTTGGGAATGGCATAAAGACACTTCAGTCAGTGGCACCGCCCCGGGGGTGGTACATTTGACACAAGTGGAGAGCCATGAAGTTATAAAATACAGACTTCAATATAAGTGTAGACCACCTTGACAGACAGCCCTGATTTAAAAAAAAATTAATTCGATAAAAAAAGACAGCAAGGAATGTCTCCAATTTCTTTGCTCTGAAAGTGTTTATGGGTTACCAATGCCTACTGCAAAGCTTCCTAAAGTGACAAAACCACCAGGTGCAGCACGGAAATCCTCGGGGAATCTTAGACAAATTTGCAAGTGGTCCTTAACTTATGTTGAAGTCTGTACAAAAGCTTTCCATAAATAGAAATTATGGTCACTTTTCATGAACTTGCCGGCCGAGACAGTAATTATGCACACATTTCCG